ATATTAGAATGGATCTGAGAGAGATAGGATGGTATGGATTGGATAGATCTGGCTCAGGATAGGGACCAGTGGAGGGCTCTTGTGAACACAGTAATGAACCTTCAGGTTCCATAAAATGCTGGGAAATTCTTGAGTAGCTGCAGAATTGGTGGCTCCTCCAGAAGGGCTCAGCTCCATGAGTAAGTAAGTAAGTTGATTTTGTAGTATAGATTATAGATAATATGTAGAAGTGCACTTGATCCCCAGCATGTACACACGTGACTTACAGACATCTGTATTTACAGCCAACATAACTAATTCCTGTAAGAAGTAATTAACAATTTTTTATGACAGATTAGCTCACTAACTGTATTGGGTGGGGTGGGGGGGGGTTAATTTTTTAATAACAACCCTGCCATATGACCATATTCTAAGTTATTTCAACCCAATTCACAGCCTGACATTCAAGATCCATTTTTATGTATCCTGTTCCCCCTGTCTTAGTCTTCCAAGCAAATGTTTTCTGTGAAGCTTCCTGTAATAAATTCTCTACAATTGTATATTTCTCCCAATTTGTTTAACATGGTCCGTGTAATCTCCTCTGTTGAAGTCTGGTAGCAGTACTAAGAGAAGCACAAAATTCTCAGTTTTCATTTTTTATCACAAATTTTAATCATTATATTTTTCTTATAACTTTGATTTTACACTGTATCTTGCTTTACAACACCATAATCACACAAGTATAATGGCTGTGTAATCATTATTGTTTTAAGAAGCAGAGAAGTGATTAACAGTTCTTAAAATTAACAGAAGCTGAATCTTGTAATATCCGCCTGGTTGAGTTTTGGATTTGATATGTGAGCACAATTTATAGAAAATCACTGCCATGATTATTACACAGTAACTTTTCATGTCTGAAAACTGATTGTACTTATGCAATCTAATTTCTAGGAAGAATTACTTCATGCTTATATAACTGCTGTGGCTTGAGAAATGGAAAATTTGTGACACCATTAAGCATGGCTCGGAATGAGGTGCTGCAAGTCCGTAATTATGCTGCAAGGAAAGGAACAAGAGAGAAAGCACGAAAGAAAAAAGTTAAGGTTGAAGTGAAGAAAGTAGGGTTTATACCATTTAAATTACGACAAAAAAAGTAAGTACCCTTATTTATGGAATGGGGGAAAAATTGGATAGAATTTAAGTATGTTATAGAATTCAGAGGTGCAAGAAAACTAGTAATTTTAATCATAAGTTTATAAAATCTCTTTGTCTACTTTTCTTCATCAGTGATCTGGTTGCTATAGGATCATAACCAAATGTTTATAGTGAATATAAGTGATCTGTATTTAATGTTGTCTTATTGCTTGGTGACCATTTATTTCATAAAATGATATTATATTTCAGTATCTTGTTGCATTGATGTATCACTCACCCATTCACCTCCATCTTTAATGAAACTTAAACTGTTCACAATCTGTCTTTAATTTAATATAACATTAAAATCACATCAGTTGCTTTTGACTTTACCTGGCCATCTCGCAAAAGTGAACAGTTGCCTGAAGATGGACAAGTAAGGCAAAAACACGTAGCAATTGATGTGACTTTAATGTTATTTAAAATTAAAGAGGGATTGTGAACATTTTAAGTTACATTAATGACAGAGGTGAATGAATGAATAAAATGATCACGTTACAGTATCACAGCAGTAAATACTACAAAAGATACATGATGCCAGATCATTTTGCACTTTCAGTGCCTTAATTTGTGGTCCACATTTTATACATTCATATGATTGTCATAATGAATAAATAAGTTCAGTATATAACTTCTTTATTAAGACTGTATCAAGGTCAGTGCCTGGTTTTGGCTCTGCTACATGTTCGGCTACTAATAGCCATCATCAGGCGAATACATGGCTAACATATTGTGACGTGTTGCGCTATAGATGATGCCCCTCCCACTCCGCCAGCCGTGACATGCCGAGCGAAGCCGTAGTGAGCCGAGTCCCAGCACGCTGGTCACTAAGCAAAGCGAGTAAACAGCGGTGACGTAACATGGGACGCCGCAGTTGCTACACAGCAGGAAACAACTCCCGACAGCGTTGCTAGCAACACGGCGCCAGACAACAGTGGTGCCTATTACGTGGCTGTTTTCTATGTTGTCCGGAACGAGGCTAAATAAGGAGCAGCAAAGATTATTCACAGTTCACGAGTTACAGTTGTCAAGTGCTCAAGTTATGAGTTCACGAGTTAGTTCTCAAGTTCTTCAGTCAGCAGTGAATAAGTTAAAAGTGTATCAGCCTACGAGTTGAGTTGGAATCCAGCCAGCGGCGAGTTACGAGTTACGGACGCGCGTGTGAGAATCAGTGATAGTGTAGACTACTGAGAACAGTGTGAATAGATTATTGCGAATAGGGTTATAAATTGTGAAACCCCGCAACATTGTTATAATTAATTGTAGCTGTTACTTGTAGGTTGTTGAATAAACCAATTAACAATCCAAACGGCGTCTTCAGTAAACAAAACACGTTACATCTGGTGTCAGAAGTGGGATTGGACTTATACACGTGATGAACAGGATTCGAACTCAAGATATGTGACAATTTGGTGTCAGAATTGGTTTACGAACTTGAACATGCCTCAATGAATGATACTGCTACAAAATGGACAAACAAGATATGCAGCGAATAATCGAAATGCTGGTGAAGGCTGAGGCCAAGAGGAAGTCTGAGAAGGCCGAGAGGAAGACGGATAAAGAAGATTTAATGGCCAAATTAGACGCCTGGGGAGAAAAGTTGGCTGCAGAAAGAGAAGCCTTCCGAGCAGAAACAAGAGCCATCCAAGCAAGGACGGAAGCCATGCGACAAAATATGGGCACCAGCCACATAGAGATGGTGTCCGCATTTAAACCCGAAATAGAGGGAAAGATGATGGCCTGCAGAGAAATGACGAAGGCGTCTCAAGAAGAAGAAAAGCCGGCCTCAGTGGAAACAAAACATGCAGCGGCAAAACAAGAAGAGGTCCCCATTGTGATACCAGTCCTAAAACCTGAAGAAGATTCAACGGATACCAGCAAAGAGATGATGGCCTGCCAAGAGATGGAGGCATGTCTAGAAGAAAAAGAGCCGACCTCAGTGGACAGGAAACCTGAGATGGCCCAACAACGAGAAGTCCCCAACGAAGATGCCGTAGTGAAACCGGTCAAAGGATGGAAGAAACGGTATAGGGGCAAGAAGCAATCTGCAGGGTGACATGGAGAGCCACAGGAACTAACCCAAGGAGATTACGTATCCCGGATGAAGTTGGCTGCCACCTGCAGGAAGACATCCCGTCGCGCGACAGTGGCACAACGTTGGAGAAATGCCTTCAAGAAGGAAACTCCCCAGGGAACCTTCGGATGCCAGCGGAAAGACGTGATCACCACCGGAATAGAGATTACACGCTGTGTAGGACACAAGCATATGGGACGAAAAGCAGACGATGTTGAACAAGAAACCTGGAAAGGAAGAACTGGAATAAAGATCATAGACAGCAGACAGCCGCTATGCCAGAAGAAAAAGGTGCCAACCAAGGACACCATCGGAGGATGTAGATCAGGAAAGCGATTGAACCTAGGAGGGAGAATTTGTAATGTGACCATCTACGAGATTGTCAGCGTGAAGATCATGAAGCGAATGGTCGGATCTTCTGTCAGATTACGACAAGGCAAGGATTGGACCTTGTGGAGGGGACGACCCCCTCCAAAATGGAAAAAGAGACTTCAAGCAGAGGAGGAACCGGTAATGTAGAAGTACTGGCCTCCCAAGAAAGAGTGAATGTGACGAACGAGTGCGACACAACGGGATCTTCTAGGCAACTTAGCAGGAAATCTCTCGAGGCGAGCAGGTCTTCAGAGGTGAGCGGTTGTAATGGCCGGAGAACAATCACTGCAAGGAGTAGCCCAAATACTAGGAGATGCAGAAAGCACAGCCTCCAAAGAAACGGAACGGGGATGCACCGTTAGGCTATTCGGGACGAACAGCCTTAAGGAGGGAGCAGTGTGACATGTTGCGCAATGGAGGACAACCCCTCGCCCCCAGCAGTGATGTGGCGGGTGAGTCAGCGCTCCATCCCCCCCCCTCCGCACGGTGACGTAGCCCCCCCCCCTCGCACTGTGACGTGGCACAGCTTCTCGCTGTGACACAGCAATGCAACGCCGCTGTTGACACGGGCAACAGGCAACAGCGAACGGAATAAAAGCCAGCTGAGCAGCAAGTGAGAGTTAGTGTGTGATCCACAGTTCTCAAGGCAGCAGCCTACGAGTTGAGTTGAAATGTGGCCGTCGCCGAGTGCAGTTGAAGTTAGTTAAGGGCATCAGTTGCCGAAGACAGTTCTCCAGTCAGCAGTGAACGAGTTAGTGTGTGTTAAGGAGTGGCGCTGTGGAATATAGCAGCCGTCGCGGAAAGAAGAACCGGACGCGTGTGTAATTGTGTAATTGGGAGTGTGTAATACAGAGAGACTTGTAGAGCTCCCGTACTGTAAAAACGTATAGACTACTGACAATAGAGTGAACTAATTTGCGAATAGGGTTATAAATTGTGAAACCCCGCAACAGTGTGAACAGATTATTGCGAATAGGGTTATAAAGTGTGAAACCCCGCAACTGTGTTATAATTAATTGTAGCCGATACTTGTAGATTGTTAAATAAACCAATTAACAATCTCTATGGCATCTTCAGTAACAAAACACATTACAATATATACACCACTTAACTGCAGTATTAATAAAATTGGATACAATAATATTACTTATATTAAAATACAGTAAAACTTGGTTATAGCAACATCGGTTTCTACGACACCTTGTCTATTGCGTCAAATATTCAATGGTGCGAACTAATTCCTCATAAAGCAACTGTTTTTATACCTTGCTTAGTACGACATGCACAAATGCATCAACCTCGTATGTAACGTCATTTTCATTCCTGAATTTCTCTGATATCGTGGGAAAGTTCGATGTGTCTGCCCACCCTCACTTTCTCTACTTGCTGACGTGACTGTCCTGGAAGAATACGACCGCGGGCTGCAAGAGGAGCGTGGGTTTTATGCGAAAACAAGGGTGTGGGGTGGGACTGCGTGAATAGTGCAAGAGGACGCGGCAGGTTGTTAACTGCATTCCTTTCCTAGAATCTCGTCTAACAGGACCTCACATTGTCTACTTACCCTATAGTGTTCCTGCCTAAACCCAGAGAAGTGCAGTAGCGAAAACATGGCAATGAAAAGGAAAGTTTTAAGCATTGAAGAGAAAGTTAAAGTGATACGTGAAATAGAAAATGGAAGGAAAAAAGCTGATGTATGCCGCAAATTTGGTTTGGTGAATTCTACAGTACAAATGATATGGAGAATCCATATTAATTCCACGTTAATGTTACGTTAGTCTGTACTTAACTACGTAATTCACTAAAAAATGCAACATTTTAACTCGGTTTTTGGTAGATTTTTACGTGACTAACATAAGGCTACTGTGGAAGTGCCCATTTCGGTTACAACGACATTCGTTTATAACGACACTATTTTTAGGTCCCTTTGATGACGTTATAACCAAGTTCTACTGTACTTGACATTAAATTATATTATATAAAACAAAAGTTATAGTATAAAACAAATAACATTCTTCGATTGATGCTTTACATCATCATGTCAGTCGTTGGTTTTTGTGATTTTGTTTCGTTCACGTGGACAAATTAGAGTATTCTATATTTTGTGTATTAAAACTGTTATAGGAGGCTCGTGATATAGATGTAGTAATATTAATCTTAGTTATTTAGTTGGTGCCTCATCTTACAAAGTACTGTCCGTTCTATAGGGAACGTAAGCAACAAAACATGTAGCAGAGCCAAAACCAGGCACTGACCATGATATAGTAGTTGTGTTGTGAGGGTCTTAATAAAGAAGTTATATATTATAACACAACAGGATGTATGAAATGAAAAGTTCATTATAGTGTACTTCAAGGGAATTCTGAATGGAGAATTGGTGCTTTCAATACTGCTAGGATGATTCTCACTGGAAACTGTTTCTTTTCATGCACTGAATAGCTGTGTCTGTTTGCCTGACCAATAATACTCATAAAACTGTAAATTCTCAGTTTGTATGTACAATTAAGTGATTTTTTTTTGTTCTGCTGTTATTGTAAACAAGTGTATTAGAAACAGACTTCTTAGTATAGTTGGAAACTGCTTTGTACATATGAGTTTTCATGTCTTGTAGAACTGCACCGCGTATTACAAGACGAATTGATGATAGCATGAAACCAGATCCTCAAGACAATGTGTGGATATCCAAATATTATAAATGGCCAGTGTATGACTTTGCCGCTGCAGTTCAATGTCATCGTGAAACAAATCATCCAACTGTGTACAACAATCCAGATGGAGAGCTTTATGTTAACATAGAACTTGATATGCGAGCTGCTAAGGCGGTAATTTTCCATATTTCACTCTTCTTGGTTTGCTATGTATCTTTTTAATGCCTTTAAAAAATAGTTCAGCTGTTTTCATTGCAATATTTAGCATATCATTATACAGTGTATCACCATAGCAGTCCAGCTTTGATCCCAGCTCAGGTCATGTGTGATTTGTGGTAGACAAAGTGGTCTTGGTATTTATTTTCTTCAAGAACTTGTTTTCCCCTGCCAGTTCTCACTCCACAAATTGCTCCGCAGTCATTAATAATCCTATCATCTGTCATATATAGTCTTTATACTGACAGTGTCATTAATGAACCAAATTAAAAAATAAGTTATATAGCATGAAGATATAGAACTACATAACAGATTATTAATTATGAGGTGTAGTATTGCAGACATACTTGTCAGACTTACAAGGGAGAGTCAGTAAATAGGTCACAAAGAGAAGTAAAACAGCTGGAACAGATGTAATAGGTTTTCTATGTGTATCACTAGGTATCAGCACAGTCCAGCTTCATGACAGTCTAGGTAGCTGATGCGCATGTGCATGTTCAGAGGCTGGTTTCAGTACTCAAAATGCTGACTGTTCTTGAAGGATATACTACTAAAGAGCAGCAGTCTGTTGTGTGTTTTTGTGGGCAAAGGGACTCGACACAAAGGATAGTCATAAAGAATTGTTTACTGTTTACCATGGGAAGTGTTTGTCTCATAAAGTGGTTCACAACTACGTCAAGCAGTTCTCTCAAGGATGTACGAAAGTCGCAGATGATGCCCGACCAGATTACTCTTTTGAGATTGCAACAGAAACAACTGCAATGGGCAGAAGAGTTGATTTGAGCTGACAGGATAATAATGATAGACAGTGTAGCAGCTGCACTATGGCATTTCCGTGCTTTAGTATACAGCATAATGCATGATCATTTGAAGTTTTGGAAAGTGCGTTCATGATGGGTGCCCAGAGCACTGAAGGATCGAGAACAAAATAAACCAAATGGATCCGTGCTTGCAGTATCTCGTATGATATGCAGATGAAGGAGAAGACATGCTTAACATGATTGTTACTGAGGATGAATCATGGGTGCATCACTGCCAACCCAAATCAAATTGTGATCCAATGCATTGGAAACATCCCAATTCACCTTCGGTCAAAAAGTTTAAACTTACAAGTACACCATCAGCTGGGAAGGTTATGCTTACCGTGTTTTGGGATTCTCAGTATGTACTGTTAGCCCATTTTCAGAAGTGTGGTGAAAATGTGAATTCAGCTTCATAGTGTGAGGTTCTGTTGAAGCTGTGGGATGCAGTTCGCAGTAAACGTCCAGGCCAACTGACAAGAGGGGTACTGCTTCATCATGACAATGCCAGGCTCCATACAGCCTGAGCAACCCAGGAGAGAGTTCAGGGACTACTGTAGGGACTTCCTGAACATGCATCTTACAGCCATCTGTTTGGTCTGCTAAAAAAAAACACCTCTGTGCAGACGTTTCACTAATGGCAAAGATTTTGAAACAGAGGTGCGAATGTGGCTGAGACAAGAGTCAAAAGGTTGTATTTTAGCATCCTGTTGCACTGATCTTCGTCCATTATGTGTAAGCAGTGTCCGTCTTTTAGTGCACTCAATTTTACTTATTACTTCACAACATGTTTCGGCACTACAGTGCCATCATCAGGTGCTCCATTTACGTCAGTCTATTTCATTGCTTGCCATTACGTCATTGTAAAATTTAAAAAGTATTTAAAAATATTCGTCAATTATAATAAATGTATATGTATATACTAAAAACTTGTTAAGATTATTTATCTTATCTGTCCCAATGCTAACACCACGCATAGTTTCACCACTATGGGAGTCGTTCCTCTTATTCTCAGGGTATATCGTGTGTCATGTTGCGTGTTCCCTGTTTGGTTGCGGGTGTAATGATTACAACAATAAGTAAAATTGAGTGCACTAAAAGACGGACACTGCTTACATATAATGGATGAAGAGTCAAAAGACTTGAATGCTGTGAATTTTGACGCTGCACTGGTAAAGTGATGGGACAAGTGTGTCAATGTTGGTGGACGGTGTGTTGAGAAATACGTTTTTTTTTTTTTCCATGTTTGAATATCACATTTTATGTTTTATATCCATTTATGATCTACAGCTATTTACTGCCTCTCCTTCATAAAGTGTCAGAGTTGTAATTTTTCTCTTTGTCACCATACCCAGCTTGGCTTTGAGGCTTACCAAACCTATTCTATGTTAGATACAGCAGCTTCCTTCCCAAGGTCGAAGCAGTGCAATAGGTACAGCAGAGTCCTTTCCAGGGATATCACAGCTGTAGTATGAAACTGACCTTTCACTTTAATTTATGCAGATTTTAAGAACACAGTTTCTTGATCACAAGAATAACTACCTGTCAAGTTATGGATTATGTCCACAATATATCACATTGTGTGCTAATGTATAATATTCGATGTTTTCATGACATTCAAAGTTCATATTGTGGCATTTATCTGACAACATAGTTTCATAACCCAGTAAACTGTGATATGAGGATTATGTGATTGTATTTCAGTGGATCTGTTATATTGTAATTTTTTGCAGAACCGATATTTGGATGCGTTTACCCGAATTGTTTCTATACCTCATCCCTTTGATACAGGGAGTGCAAGATCTGTCTTAGTTTTTTGTAAATCCAGAGAGCTCCAAAAGAGTGCCCTGGAGGCTGGTGCCACAGTGGCAGGGGACACTGAACTGATCAAGAATGTCCAGGTAATTAATACATTGGTGCTAGAAACCATAATATTACAGTATAGGTAAATATGTCACGTTTGTAATATTACATTTTGACACATTACACTTTTGCATTTTTTCTGTATGATGCATGCAACTAGAAGGGTTCCCATTAACTGCTCTGTGTTCTAGATATCATGGAGATTCTTCTGTTTCAGGTTTTTTGTTTATTTTTTCTTTTCTCCAATTTTTTTTCCTCAAATTTAAATCTGCATACGAAACTGTGAAACTGGGATAGCTCAGTTGGTATAGTGATGGGCTATTCGCTGGACAGCTGGTGTTCAATTCCTGACAGGGGCAAGAGATATTTCTCTTCTCCACAGTGTTTAGGCTGGCTATGGGGCCCACCCAGTCTCCTATCCAGTGGGAATCGAGGGCTCTTTCTTGGGGACAGGTAAAGTGGCTGGAGTGTGAAGCTGACCGCTCACCTCCATCTAGTGCCGAGGTCAAGAAGGGTGGGGCTATATCTCCACTCCCCCACATGTCTTCATGGCATAGTGCTTAATTAATTATGCATGCACAGGGGCAATTTTATATATTTTCTTAACAAACAGTACTGGTCTTTGTGAAATAACCAGACTACAGTGATTGTACTGTGGGGTGAATGTATTAAGGAACTGTAAGACAGTTAACTGTGAAGCGCTGTGTTTACAAAATCAAAATGTAACTATTTCCAGTCAAACCAAATTTTCATCACCACCAGTATTGAAATCTGCTATCCAGTTTGATCCTGAGCCAGTTACTTCTACTGCCCATCTTCACATTCTCCCTGCCTAAGTGATATTTGAGGATCTCATGGTGGTGACTGTGAAGTTTGCCATCTTCTGGGATGTTGCACTGTGTAGGCTGGAAGATTTTTCCAATAGCAGTTGCACCTTACTGCTTGGCTTACTCTTCAACCGTGATTGTGAAGGTAGCACATTCCCCTGAAGCACTGGGAAACATCTACCAGACTATGCAGCATAACATCCCACAACACAATACTCTTCTCTTCTAAGGTCCATCTTAATTATACCCTCCCATCTTGTTCCCAGTCTTTTCAACTGGCTACTTTTGAAGATGCTTGGGTACCAAAGTTTGTTTCATCACATGTTAGTGACTAGACTTAGTGCTTGGATTGATAATTGGATTTATTGAGAGCTTATAACTCATAATTACAAATCATTATAATGTTCCACTAATGTACATACTTTACAAATCACAATAGCACATGCTAAGTTTCAGTCTTTTGTAGTCCTCACTTGTTGCTAGGTAGCAGCTCCCAGTAATGGATATTCCTCTGCTTCTGTGCTCACATTCATACTGACTGGCAACTGTCTCACAGGTAACTCATGACCCTCCTAGCCATGACTTTCCAACTCTTCTTGTACTTCCAGCAGTTCATGTGTTATTGCATGTGTATCGATTGATGTGGACACGTGTTTAGGATGCCATTGCTTAACAATGCTGGCTGCCTTTTACCCCAGGAAGTTTCCTGATACTCGTTTCTGTTAGAGGCTGAGTTGACCCCAGGGCCACAGTGCAGGTGGAAGGATTAGATCAATTGAAAAATCCAATATCATCAGGAATTGAACCCGCAGACTTCCGGATTGTAACACAGTGCCTCAACCAGACTGTTATATGAAGAATGTTCAATTTTGTTTTAATTGTGTGCAATCATGAAAAATATCCATGAACCAGTTTCTTTTCTATTACATACATTTCTAGTACATACCCCTGAGGATGACATTGTAAATGTTGAAACATATAGGGACTATAATGAATTGAAATTAGTTTCAAGAACTTGTATTGTAACTGACTGTACTCTTATGCTAAACAGCACTTTGGATTGCAGTAGTACACAACTCAAAAAACTTTTGTAGTTTATTTATTTCCACAAAGTAAGTGATCATGTTCATAGACATTATAAGAAAAAGTAAAGGTATTCCTGTAACAGGCCATGGAGGCCCATATGGTTGTGAGATGTTGAGGTTCCCACATTTTCTGGACAATTGGCTCATAGATGGTGGTAAGGTTGTCAGCCTTATGCGCCGGTCGCCCTTTATCCCCATGAATATTCCAAGAATATTCCTGGTACTCATTTCTGTTAGAGGCTGAGTTGACCCCCAGGGCCATAGTGCGGCTGGAAGGATTAGGTAAATTGAGAAAATCCACCTCATCGGGATTCGATCCCACAACCTTCTGGCTTGTAGCATAGTGCCTCAACCAACTACGCTACCGCGTGCCCCCTAGGCATTATAAAACACCTGTTAAATATATTAAACAGAAAATTGTTTTAAATTCCACTGTTGTGGGACAGAGAAAAATATTTGCATTATAATTTTTTTTAATATTAGCATTAATGTGGTCAGCCTATGAATGATGGTCCCTAGAAGATTAATGTGAGATACCTTATTGAAGACTCAGAACTTTTTATCCACAGAGTTGGATTGGTCCAAATTTACTTTTGCCATGTGTTTTGTCATATGAACTTATCTCCAGATCATTTCTGCAGTCTAAGACAAGGCATCTTTAGAACTTAAAATTCTGATACTTGTTTGATAATTGTACTGTCTAAAACGAATGTTACTCTGTAAATGTTATTGCTTCACATTAAAGTACAAGATGTATGAGGTTTGAAACAGAATGCTCGGTCTTGGGACATACTGTTTGAAATTGGCAATTTGAAAACAATACTAATGTTATTTAAAGTATAAGATTTTCATTTTCAGTATTCAATGTAAAAACTGTGTCTGCAAATAAGAATATAGTATACCTACTATGGAGATATTGAGCATATGTTCAAAATTTTACTGATTTCTCTAGATATATTTTAAAAAATAAAGTTTACACGTTACATAATCTTTTTCAGAGTGGCGAATTGAGTCTTCACGATTTCCACTTTGTTGTTGCACATCCAGATATACTACCTGAACTTGTTTCTGTTCGAGGATTGATGAAGCGGAAATTTCCAAACCAGAAATCAGGTATGTGGAAGCAAGAAAATGGGTGGTAAGTTACAGTGTCAGGAGTTCTTACAACCAAATCAATGTTATCACTTTTGCAGAAAACAAAATTGCATTGAAAGGTCTGTGTTCATTTAAGCATGGGGATGTGCATGGCATAATGCTTAAATAGACACACAGACAACTTTGCCATTATATGAAGTATTTTATGTTGTAGTACTCGTATAGTGAACAAATGTTTTCTTAGTTCACCACTCAGACAAAAATTCCACTCATTTTCTCTACAATAGAAACTGGCAGCCTATGCCATTGTAATTACACCAAAAATTAAATGTCTTTTATGTGTTTTATAACACAGAAGACCACAATTTGAATCTTCACATCTGTGAAAACCAAAATATTATGTACATAACTGCATTTGCCTCTTGCTTTGTGTGGGTGTGAAACTTGGCCCCAAGGGAAGAAGTAGATTAAGGCTGTTTGAGAATAGGATGCTGAGTGGAATATTCATACATAAGAGAGAGGTAATATAATGGACCATGTTTCTGTATGGACTGTACTTTCACCTTTCATTAGTGATTGTAATTTTGTTTAACAGTTACTATGATTAGAGGTACCAGGTTTAATACATCATATACTTTATTTATTTTCAGTTTGCTTTATTAACGTTAATTAAATATATAGCAGCCATTTTAAGGGTAGTTCAAAGTATGCTGATTCAGTAGATTGTAGCCTATGTAAGACACCCATATTTGCTCTGTTAGTCTAAGGCATGCACTGTCTTCGCTCTCTCGGAAGCCTGGATCATGGGTTCGAATCCCTCACAAGGCATGGATGTTTAGTGTTTGTGTGTGCCCATTTTTCTGTGTTTGTGTACAGGTAGAGGCCTTGCGCCGAGCTGATCACCCACCCAAAGAATTCTACCAAATGTCTAAGCTCTAGTAAACCAAAGTGAAACAGAGAGTTTAATGGGGGTAGGCCAAGGCCCAAATTGGGGCTGTAGCGTCAAGAAAAAAAAAATGGCTATTACGGAGGGATTCATTCGTTTGCTGCCTTACTTTTTGCTTGTTTATAGAGGATGGCTACTGGATGTCTTCTCTCTGACAAGACAGTGTTTTTCAGTAGATTATTGTAATGTCTGGTAAGTAAAGTGGCTTTTCTGAAAGAAAAAAATTGAGCATGGCCTAACCAACTGCCTAAGTAAATCCATGAAGCTGAGTCTTTGAGAAGCCACCAGTCACTTAGCTAGTCAAGAATTTCCCAATATTTTGTGGAGCCAGAAGGTTCATTACTGTCTTCACAGGAACCCACCACTATTTCCTATCCTGAGCCAGAAAAAATCCAGTCCATACCATCTCATCCCATCCTGATTCTCGAACAACTCATTATGCTGTTATTCTTTCACCTATATCTAGGTCTTCCTTCTGGCTTTCCAACCAAAACCCTATATTGGTTCCTCCTCCTTTCCCTTCCTCACCTCATGCATGTTACATAAGCTACCCATCTCATCCACCTTGACTTGATAATTCTAATTATATTTGGCAAAGGGTGTGAGTTATGAAGCTCCTCAATATGCAGTTTTATCCTTCATAGGTAAGACATCCAATTAGATCTGTGCAGTAATGCTGTTTGCTCTTATATGACAGAAGTTATCTACTAGCCAGTGTCCCACTTTACAAGCAGGCAGTAATAAGGCTGAAAAAGAATGTATGAACCTCTCTGCACCTTCAGCCCTGAAGATAGAGGATGATGGTCCACAGAAATGTTGGTGGACTTATTTTGGAGTAATGTTGCTATCTGTGTACCAAAGTACACAGCGTAACATCTCAGAAAACTATTATGTCTTAGTTTTAATATTAGCACATTCTTAGACTTAAGTTCAAAATATTGGTGAATAAAAATGTATTTTTAGGTACTCTTGGCACTGATATACCTGGTATGGTATCAAGATTCCACAGTGGTATTGAATACTCTGCTAAGGTGGACCAATATCTTAAGGACTTAGGATGGATTTTTACATCTTTTGGGAAAGTAAGTTCTCTAATTAATAATGCATTTAATACAGCTGCATGAAAATTATTATAATCAGTAGCAATGCTGGAGTGTTGCTAGGGGACCTAACACATAAGGATGAGGATGTTACTTGCCTGGTCATATGGTGGTGATAATCTAGATTAACTGACAGATGAACTTGTGAAAGGCGCCTACAAAAAGATGAATGAGCCACACGCATCTTATATGATTGTGAGGCTATAGCTTACCTAAGATATCGCCACCTGGATCAATTCTTCATGGAACCAAGTGACTTTTATGATGCCCCCATAAATAAAGTCCTACATTTCATTCGAAGTGTAGGATTAAAAAAGGATTAATCCAAATGTGAAGCACAATAGATCATTGAAGGTTGCAGTGTGAGGGCCAGTTTCTATGGTTCACCCCTCATACTCATACTCAACTGACAGGTGAAGATATGTCTGGCATGTGTTACAAGCAAAAGCTGCTGATAGGACAGATTAGATTTAAGAAAGAAGCAAATACAACTTAAAATACTTTACTCATCAGCATTATGATATAAAGAGATGAGCAAGGACTTGGATTAGGATTGCTAGTAATCACAGCTGTGCCATTAATGATTTGCAAGAATGGAATCAAGTACACAGTTGACGCATAATTGTTATCTGACATGCATAAATCCTAGTTAATGTGATGATAAACCTACAAATTTCCTACACGATATGATATACATATATGATCACATGCAATTTAACCAGAGACTACATAATGTTCCTTATGCTGGGCGATTAAAGTCAATGTATTTTACTTAATTATTTCTATCATTTCACTTTCATTAACTTCTTTGAAGTAATCATTCATTCCAAAGTGAGTTAATATGTGTGAACGATGGCCCATGAAAACTGTCTTAATTAAATAATGCTGTCCTCATTGCTTAATAGAAACATGTGGTGTGGGTTCTTCTGGTCAAATGAATATAAAAATGTTAGACATTAAATACTGCCATAAAATGACAATAAATGAGCATTTCATAAAATGAATGCTCCGTGATTTCAGTCCGGAAGCGAACTATACTGACCGAGCGACCGCCGCTTCCTGGCCAAGTTTTAGTGCCAACTTTTGCGGATAGAGGGTGTCGTGTGGTCAGCGCAACGAATCCCCACGGCTGTTAATTTCGGTTTTCTAGACCAGAGCCGCTATTTCCTTGAAATAGCTCCTCAGGTATCATCACAAGGCTGATTGGACCCCGTTCCAGACCCACTACTTCTCCAAAAAAATCTGGTAGTGCCGGGAATCGAACCCAGACCTCTGGATCTGTAGCCAGGAACGCTGACCACTAGACCATAGAGGTGGTCAAATGAGCATTTCATAGTTTCAGGAAAAAAGTGACATAATGGGCAGTGTGTTCATGTAAAATTTCTTTAGATCAAAGGATATATAATCAATTGTTAATTCTTGAGTACTGTAAAATCATGAGGATTGCATTTCTTTCTCAGATGTTTTAAATGTTAAATGTCTTTGTTCTGTGCTTTAGTCATGTGTTATTTATAGGTTTTCATTGACAGGCCTGTAGACAGCCTGGCATTGTTAACACCTGTTGTTTTTTATTATTAAGTGAATAAGCATGTTGAGCATAAGATTTTATTCTTGACTCAGCTACAGTCAGACAACTATTAATAGAATTTTATCTGTAAGATATAAAGCTCACATTGCAGATCATGGTTTTGGAGCAGGGGGCAGCATATTTAACCAGGGCATGGTGTGTGCCTGCTGGGCTGCATGGTGTCATATCCCAGGTTGCTGTCACGTTAGTTGTATGGATAGTATTGTTAACTTATTGGTAGTGAGCTTGACATTTTAAACAGGATCAAATAACCTTAGAAGCTGATGTGCCTCTAAGCACACATGCTTTTTCTCTCTTTCCCTGTCTCTCTCAGTGTGCATAGAAAGAAATTTGTGGATTTTGTTTATATCTGATTCCTTCAAAAATACCTAGGAGGACCTAAGTTGTCTTTTAGGGCATAATCTGTTCTGTTATTAAAATCAGAAAATGCTAATACCATTATAGGATTTTAATTGGTTGAATATATTTGTCATTATTTTAATTTTAAATATTTCTTTCAGATTGATATGGATACATCCCACTTGGAAGAAAACTTCTCTTCTCTGCTGAAAGATGTGAACTCTGTGAGACCAAATCGAGAAGGTCCATTCATTACAAAGTGTTGTCTGGTCACCTTACCATCCCTAGAGAGGTTGAAAGTTGACTATAAGCAGTATATAGATGAAGTTGACAATGGCAATGAAAAAGAGAAAGTTGAGGAAGATGATGATGAAAATGATGATGCTGTTGAGGTTGAAACTGAAAGAAGTGAAATGAATAAGACTTCAGTAGTAGGATAGGATTTCATATACCATTTGTAAATCTGTGATTTAGCATGAACTTTCACAGCTCTTCTATTGTTGCAGAGACATGTTTACCATGCTGTTGTGTAGCAACGGTTGTGGCGCAGATGACTGAAAACACTGTCTCCAACAGTTCCTCCATTGTTGCGTGTTGATTTGTTTCTATGGGAACCTGTTTGTAATCATTACCTAGTAATGGGTCTACACACTACAATATGTTGATGTTTAATTGTACCAATTATTAGAAGTAAAGTGTGTGTTTATTTGATCATGATCATCACCATCACCCAAATTCCTCAGGATACTGAAAATATTTGTATGCGTTAAGTGACTAGACAAGTTTTGGATTGGCTATCAGATTTATTGAACTCTTAAAGATAGTAACTATGCTGCTGTTTCTAATTCTCACACTCTACAAGGTGTGGCAATAAAGAATCCGGATTCATGCTCTAACCCTTTATTAAAAAAAAATCAGACATTCGAAATGTTATCCCCTTCAATATAGTCCCCTCCCCGATCCCTACACCGCTCCATGCGAATTTTCCACTGTTGGAAGCAGTGCTGCAGGTCATCTTGTGTTATGCTCTTCAAGAGTTGCGTCGCTTTTGCTTTCACTGCATCCACGGACTCGAACCTGGTCCCTTTCAGCGCAGACTTGATTTTTGGGAAGAGAAAAAAGTCGCACGGTGCTAGGTCCGGAGAATACGGTGGATGTTCCATCACTGGAATGTTGTTTTTTGCCAAATACCTCTTCACAGATAGCGCGTTGTGTGCTGGCGCGTTGTCGTGATGAAGAACCCATGAGGCATTCTTCCACATGTCTGGTCTCCTTCGTCGCACACGTTCACGGAGGTACGTCAAAACATTTTTATAATAAACCTGATTGACAGTCTGACCTTCAGGCACCCAATCAATGTAGATTACCCCCCGGATATCGAAAAAAACAATCATCATTGCTTTGAATTTGGACTTGCTCATGCGCGCTTTCTTCTTCCTAGGGGATTTGGGGCTCTTCCAATGCATGGATTGTCGCTTAGTCTCTGGATCATATTGAAGAATCCAAGTTTCGTCACACGTAATTACGTTTTGGAAGAAATCAGGATCATTTTCAATGTTTTCAAGAGTGTCAACACAGCAATTCACTCGATGTTCCTTTTGCTGGGGGGTAAGGATTTTTGGCACCACTTTAGCACACACCTTTTTCATGCCCAGATCGTCGTGCAAAATCTGTCTAACACTTTCCTTATTGATGTTCGTAAGTTCAGAAATTGCTCGAATGCTCAGTCGACGATCTCTTCGAACAATTCTAGCGACCTTCTCCACATTCTCTGGAGTTTTCGCAGTGGGAGGACGGCCCGATTTTGGATCGTTCCCGACGTTTTTCCTACCCTCCATAAACTTCTTAAACCACTCGAAAACTTGCGTGCGAGATAGACACTGATCACCATATACTTCTGTCAACAAATTGTAAGTTTCAGTGGCAGATTTTCCAAGTTTTGTGAGGAATTTGATGTTAGCACGTTGTTCTGCATTAGCACTCAGCATTATTCCGACGGAGCTCAGAAACACGATCCGCTTCTAACAATGGTCGCGGCCAGACTAACCGATGCACGTGAATGAAACTTTGTGTGACGGTAGAGGGAAGTCCAAGGGTCAATGCCCTACCCTCCTCTTCGTCAATGACGTGGCCGGAAATGAGTCATAAAAGTAATCCGGGTTCTTTATTGCCAGACCTTGTACAGTTCACTACAGCACGCACTAAGTCTTCTGAGTCTGAATTGTAGCTTCCTCAGCTTCCATGTTCCACAGCTCCAATCTTTGCTGGCTGTCACTTCTTTCACAACTCAATTGGGATTTGCCCAGTTACAGTCTTCCAACAAACTCTATTCCTCACACCCTTACAGCTCACAGACTGTACTCCCTAATCACTGTCTCAAGACTCCTGACACTTATGACTACAGTTCACAAATGACTGTCACATCCAGCCTAGTGTTTCCACTCAAGGTCTTCACTACACTACTTGGTAATGTCTTCCAACTGTGGACATTTTCTGCTTCTGGGCTAACATCCTCGCAAGCTGGTGTCTGTCTCACAGCAAGACTCAGCATTTCTATGCAGTGGCTTACAATAGTGGGGGCTCCTTCACCAGGGGCAACTATCTCAGTCTCAAACTGCCTGGCTCCAAGCTTGAACTCTGCTTGACTTGTGTTTAGATTCTCCAGGTACAGACTTACAGAGAACAGTGCTTCCCACATTTCCTCTGTTATTGTGTGCATAACTGTTGCTACGCTGACATTGCATGTACCTACTGTAATCTAGTAACAGATGTCTCTTCTTATTAAATTATTCTGGCTTTGGTCTGTCTTGCCACAATTTATTAAACCAGAATTGGAGACATGAATATTAAATGTTTTTATATTATTCACTTCTTGCTATCCTGGTAGCCGGTATAGTGACTGGCTGTGGGCTGGAGGACCTAGGGGTCAGAGTTTGAGTCCCGGTAGTCAAGAATTTTCCCTTCTCCAATCATCCAGACCTGCTCTGGCGTCCACCCAACCTCCTATACAGTGGGTACCAGGGCTCTTTCCCAGGAGTGAAGCGGCCGGTACATGAAGCTGACCATTCACCTCCAACTAGTGCTATGGTCAAGAAAATATGGATCTATACATCCACTCCCCCATACATCTTCATAGTGTAGTGCTTAATTAGTTAAACACAGGGACAACTTTACACCTTTTATATCATTCACTTACCTTGTAAACTGTCCGTGAGGATCATGTAAAATTATATCTCGGTTGATAACACATTAAAAGATATTTTTAAAAGTAGCAAGTCAGCCATCTAATTTAGAACTCAAATTGAAAATCTGTGGTCCACTTATTTTCCTTTTTTCCTTATATCTACAGCCCCAGTGGGCCTAGGCTTACCTCCGTGAACTTCTCCGTTCATTTCGGTGTAGTCCACTTATAGTAGGGGTTTCTGTGTATGTGGTTAATGATCTCATCCTACATACATAATTTTTAACTTAGAGAAATTGAGGTATTCAGGTGTTATGCTTAAGTAGTTCCCATTTAACCATGTTTTAATTATGAACTAGAAAGTATCTAATGATCAAGGAGATTCGGTTATGAGGCAAGTCGCATGCAAGCGAGAGGTATGAAATGCATGTAGAATTTTGGTCAGGGAACCCAAAGGCAAGAGCTTACTTGAGAAACCAAGGTGAATATGACATTTCAAGCCATGGGTTCCATATTTACAATTTCTTCCATCATGTATTCAACAATAATTAATCCCTTGGTTCCAGCAATATTTCTCTGAATTTAAATAATTCTAAATTTAATGCATGGAGGGAAGAAGGTTCTCTCTTTACTCAACTACGGTTCTTAAGCTTCATTAATTGTGAAAGATGAGACAAATTGTGTGTCACACAAAGGGGAAATGAGAAATGGATACAAAATTGTAATGAAAGAACTTCAAAGTTTTGCAAAAGAAGTACCATATTTTCTTGAATACCTGGCACACGTTAAAAAAAAATTGCCAAAAAGTGAGGTGTGCAAATTATTATCATCAAAGTTAACAGCACTACTTATTTGTCATTTAGCACTCCAGCACATCCCAGATGTTAGTAGCCCACTCCTCTGTTAGCTTTTGTACTTTCATATGTCACCCTGTCCTAATGAGGTGCAGTTTATCTCAGTTTATTCACAGTTGAAAGTCAGTTTTATGTTGTGATTTTGAGTGAAAAAAGGTACAAAGAGTATGTGATTATGATCTTTCATGGTGAGTGAAGAATTAAAGATAAGAGTAAAGGGCACATGGGAACATATTTCACCCAGATTGGTGGAAATTTGTTTAAAAAAATGTGGCACCTCAAATAGCCGTGATGGATCAGAATATGATTTCTTTTGGTACAGTAATGACCATGTGAGCTCTGCTGATAGCAACATGAATGGTGATGAAAGCAGTGGTGAATAAAATCCTGTAGGTATATAATCTTTGTTTCTAATTAGCAAGTTTTATGTGATGAAGTCACAGTAGAATGTAGATGAAGCACCGTGATGAAAGCTAATATTGCATCAATTTCCTGCTGCAGGACACCATGTCTCTGGAATTGTGAATGTAACAGAACCAGAAATAACACAAGTGTTCTTTTATATGAAATAATGTTTATCATTTAATATTTATTAATGTTTGATATTTAGTTAATGTTTAATACTTGGAAAATATTTGAATTTTTTTTCTTCCTAAAAATTGGAGTGTATGGCTTATTGTAGAAAATATAGTAATATTACATATTACTACCGGGTAGACCCAAGCGTAACTAGTAGAACAGTATTATAATGGATCTGAAAGAAATAGGTATGAAGATGTGGACTAAATCAACAGGCTAAAGATATTATTCAGTGTTTTTTAAATGGTAAGGTAATTAGAATGATCAAGAAAAAGAGGATGATATGGGCAGTGTATGTGTCATGCATGGTGGAGAAAAGAAATGCATATAGGATTTTGGTGGGAAAGCCAGAAGGAAGGAGACCATTACAAACACCTACACATGGGTGGGTGGGTGGGAGGATAATATTAAGATGAATCTTAGAGAATAAAGATGAGATGGTATGGAGGATTTGAAGAGCAAAGCATGTGGCTTTATATATAACCAGAAGCAACCTTGGAAGACAACTTGTCTGTTCCCATTGGCTCTGTCAGAAAATCAGAACAAACATATGAGACAGGAGAAGAGTGACCAGGTTTAGCCCTATCAAAGGCCAGTTGTGCTGATCTGGGAATGTGGGGAAGAGAATTCATAGGTGTGTTTGGTGAGCAGAGAACTGAGAAGGGAGGGAGAGAAGTTGTGTGCATGGGTTGTAGGCATGTTGGTGATAAGAAGAACAAGGACAGCAGAGAAAATGCCAGGGAAGGAAGAAAAGGCTTGGGGTCGATGGCTGTCCTGAAAGGACAGGGTTGATTGGTTGGCATTCAATAGATTGCATGGCATTATATCCCAGAAGACAGAACTCTTTATAACCACAACATGACAAAGGCGATTTGCATTCAGACTGTCACGAAAATTTATTTTAACATACACAAAAATGTCTTAAATTGCCACTTAACTAATATGTAGCTGGGTTCTTCTTGAGAAGCCACCATTTGCGCAGCTACTCAAGAATTATTTATTCTAGTAAGGAAAGACTTTCTTTGGAACTGGATTGCCTACAACAAATAGGATGTGTGTGTGAGAGAGAGACAGAAATAAA